AAGTTTATGGTGTGATTTTGAATTTTTTCTTTTCTTCTTTTGTTGGTTTTATGATTTTAATGTCTCATTTTTAATTTATTGAATATGATTTCTAGAACTTCTCGTAAATCTTATCATAGGTCTTCTAATACCTTTTTTCTCTGTTTTGATATTTTTAGTTGTGTATAAAAAGATATGAAACTAGCATCACTATATTAAAATTCAATTAACATATTTTTAGCCTTTAAGAATAGAGATGATCGATTGATTATAATAATCTAACAAAACTTACGAGGATGACTAAATAGCAAGATGTATATATATCTACTAAGTATATTTAGTCTAAATTTAAACTAATACTAAAATAACTCAATTTTTCACAAAAATATATATTAAATTTATTTTGATTTAGAAAATAATCTTTTAATTTCGAATTAGAAAAGAAAACAAAATAAATATATGTTTGATTAATTGTAAAATCTCAAATGAGGATATTAGTCTCTTTTTATCCATGAAAAAGGTTATTTTACAAAAATTTCAAAATATGGGTTAGTTTTCAAATTTTATAAAATTTTCAGAATATTAAACCAAATCACCCTAATTAATTATATTATTAAATAGTTTACAAAATTAAAAATATCATTTCACGTGATTGATCAAAAAATAAAAAATATAGATTATAGATAAAATATACAATCATAAAAAATTACATTCGGACAAAATTAAAAATGGTGAATTGCATAAAATTTATGGTTTGCGTTCAAATTATATAATATTTAGTTCATTTGATTTAGTTTCTCATAAATAGTTGATTATAGAAAAATTAAGTTGGCAATTTTTTTTGCCTACCGAAGTTCTTATATTTTACACTATATAATTGATTGAAAGATTTATTTTAATGATCTAGTATAAGACATTTTCTTATGTTATTTACATGTGTTGAGAGAGAGAGAGAGTTATACATTACTATCTCAAGGTACATTACTACCTCAATTTAAGGTATAACATTGTTATACTTTGCTATAAAATTATATTTTACAGGTTTGATTAAAATTCGATTTTCCGTTTATATTATATTTTAATCTCTTGCAATTAATTAAAGTAACAACAAAAAATGGCTATTTATATAGTTGGTGTAGTTTGGCTACATTTAGAGTAGTAATTGTCTACAATTTATACAATTTTGTTTTAAAATATACTTTTTGTAATTATGAATTATCAAATTTTAAGGAGATATTATTTTTTTTACTTTAAAAAGGTTAGCTTTCAAAATCTTGAAAACATAGATTAGTTTTCAAATTACATAATTTTTTTGGATTATCAAACCAAACATCCCTTTCTTATATCCGCATAAATATATTTAAAGAGTATTAGGGAATTACACATAAAA